AAAGTGGTCACCATAACCAACTTTAGACAATCGGGTATGTAGTATGGTTGTCATCAAGAGTCCTGGGAGAGTAAATTACTCGCTGCTGATTGAAAAACGCCACTGACCACGGTTTCCTACTAGAACGTTTGGAAACCAATGTCAAAACAAGTCAATGAAACAGCATAAAATTTCATTGAAATCATAAATTCGGATGCTGACTCACTGGTCTAGATGTCAAGCGTTCATGTATTAAACTGAAGGTCTTGAGTTCGATTCCCAAGGGTGGGATGGTGAATGCACATTATTGCGAAGTTCCATAATAGAACGAAATGTCCGTCACTGCTTCCAGGTTTTAAATAGTGGGTCTAAGATTAATTGATGATTTAAGTAAAATTCGACAATCTCTACAACCCCTTACTGATTGGTATCAAATTGTTTTTGTGATAGGTAGTATATGAAGATTTGATGCTTTATAAAGATGATTCTCGTCACGTTCTGAAATTACGCTTGATAATGGCCTCAGTAACCTTTGGCCTCACATCCAGGCTAAACTTTTCACTTATCAAAATTCATAACTCTGACATAACCTACAATCAATCACTTGTTTCTATTTTACTACAACTTTACAGTAATTAGATAGTGTCAAATTAAATAAACAACCTCTACGTTTCCCTCAAAAGTGGATACATAGAAGGCGATATGAAACTTTTCATATTCATTATAAGTGTAGCAACTAGTACGTGATTTTTGATTCAATATTTCTGTTGAAGTGAAGTTGAGTGATGAATTTGAAAAAGTGGATAAGAGTTAACCTCGGTGCATGGTTTTTTATCACTTGGTGGTCAAAACCTGACATCGTACAATGTTTTAGTTAGGCACGTTCTATTACTTATGTAGTTGATATCTTATATGTTAAAAACGAAACGACTTGTTTTCTAGGTTTTTAAAGGCTGTGTAGACTCAATGTATTACTAGATAAGTTGAGATTTGAAGCGAAAGGCACTGAATTCAAGTCGCGATGTTGACTTACTTACTCATGTCTGTTACTCCCGATGGAGCATAGGCCACCGACCAGCATTCTCCAACCCACTCTGTCCTAAGCCTTCCAGTCTAGTTCTATCCAATTTTTGTTCATTTTTCTCACGTCTGTCTCCATTTCTCGAAGTAATGTGTTCTTTGGTCTTCCACTTTTCCTTTGGCCTTGAGGATTCCATACAAAGGATTGTCTTGTGAGTCAGTTGGGTGCTTTCCTCAATGTGTGTCCTATCCACTTCCAGCGCTTCTTCCTGATTTCTTCCTTCGCTGGGATCTGGGTTGTTCTCTCCCACAGTAGGTTGCTGCTGATAGTGTCTGGTTAACGGATCCAAAGTATTTTGTGTAGAAGACTGTCAATAAACACCTATATCTTCTGGATGATGGCTTCCGTAATTCTCCAGGTTTCCGCCCCATACAGTAGAACTGTGTTGACATTTGTATTGAAAATTTTGACCTTGTTATTGGTTGACAGTTGTTTTGAGTTCCAGATGTTATTCAGTTGTAAATATGTTGCTTTTGCTTTGCCGATCCGCGTTTTCACTTCTCCATTAGATTCACTGCGTTCATTAATGATGCTGCCCAGATATGTCAAGGTTTTTACATCTCCCAAATCTTCGTCAAGTGTTATTCGATTGTTGCATGCTGTGTTGTATCGGAGAATCTTGCTTTTCCCTTTGTGTATGTTGCGACGTACTACTGCTGAGGCTGCTGTCAAACTGGTCGTCTTCTGCAGTTGTTGTTGTGTGTGTTGACACTAACACTAAAATATAGATATGTCCAGATGATATTCTCTAAATGAAACGAAATGGTTGTCCTTCATTCTACTATCAGCTAATATTTAACCGTAGATTAGCAACAATCCTAACGTAAAATATCTCCACAATTATAACAGGATATCGATTTTTAACTAACTGCGCTTCTGGTCATATTCACAGCATATTTAGTATAACTGGAATTCATCTTCATATTCATAATGTTCTTTTATATTTAACAAGAAAGTAAGAGAATTAAACACTCATTTTGTTGAGGAATTTCATTGGTGTTTTTTGTTTGATATATTTTCTGTTGTGACTATTTTTGCTTACTAATTTGTAAACGTTCAATAATCTCTTATAATGGTAAATGATAGTAAATGATAGATGGTTTTTAAAAAAAAGTTATCTGCTGTTCTATGAACATTATTTCAAAGTTCAAGATTGTTGGCATAAAATTCTTTAGTTCTATGGAAAACTAACCAAATATTTTGTTTGTCTAAAGGTCTATTTATTTAGGTTGACAAAATAATGCTTTAATCATATGGTGACGTGTACTGCAATAACGATTTTTTAAAATAGAAAATGATCCTTTATTGTGATTCTGTTGATCAGTTCCTGATAGACCAATGATTATTTGTAATTTGAACGTTTTAAGTTATATAAGTTATAATAAGTTCTTAGAGCAACGTTACATGTATTCCAGTTTACCTAAAGAGTGTTTGTAAATTAACAGTGTAACTTTCTGGTTTTTAATTAAATTAAAATTCGAAACCTTTCATTGGTATAGCTCTCTTATTCTTATGTGTTAGCGGGACATAGACTGGATTGAAGCATGCTCAATGCATGATTGCTTTGATGCACGCTGATTGGCTAATTCTTAACCAATCAGCACTACTCGATAGTTGGAGAACACTCTAGAACCTTCTCAAGTAAAAACTATAAATATACTAACGTTTTCTCTATTATACTTCTTACTGGCACCTTACTTTCATCTAACCTTGTTATTTGGAATATAATCTCTTTCCTGTTCATCCGTGTTCTGATTTGGGGACTTGTCGAGTGAATCGGTGTCCGAGAATACTAAGCAATAGGAATAGCTGGGTCATAACCGTAAGAAAGAGATTATAACATTATGTTTCTCAGTTTTCATAAATGTTTCGACTGAAATGACAGATGTACAAATCATATTGTTTTGTTTAACTTGAATTTGTAGTAGTTCACTTAATTGAAAATGTATCGTTTCTTGACTTGTTACTTTCTGTCTTTCTCATTTTTCCTACCGTTTGGAAATGAGATTGAAGAATATTTTCGATTGATGAGTAATATTTTAAATAACATACTCCTAGGATCTTAGCGCTTACAAATTGACGTGAATATAACCTTAATTATGGATCAATGAGTTGTTTATTTATAATCCCTTAAGCGATAAGTTGAAAATCATATTTCTACCTTTAATTTTACCTCAGTCGTCGCGTTTATTATTTTTGTGAAGGTGGTTAATACAAAGTATTGCAAAGTTGGCAATGTAATTTTGTAGCTTGTTTTAACGCATTGAAATACTTTGTTAACAAAGGCTTATGAAATCGATGCTTTTTCTTAACGTTTATCTGAAATAAACATGTTTAGGAAGTAAATTATACTTATATTTTGTATATTCCAAACTAATTGGCTTTAAATATTTTTTTCGAGTAAAAAACTTATGCAAGATTGATTACTTTTCCTTAACATTCATTTTTATTCTTTAATCTGAAGATAGGGATACTTTATAGTTCAACGAAAGATTGATTTATGTCACTCGGTGTCTAAAAGAATTTGACGTTATATTAAACAACAGCCTGTTTTAATGAACTCTGAACATTTGAGCAAATACTTGTTTTAAATAACTTCGTTAGCTGACTATTGAGTTGTAAATCTACGATTATTTTATTACAGTGGCCAAAACTAGGCATCAACAAAGCATTTTAATTAAAAAACTTTATACGTCAGTATAGTTGGCTTACTACAGCTATTAGTGGCATGGGTGTGGTTTTTGCAGTTATAGAGCAGTAGGAAACATTGTCTGGAACTATTGTGAGGTAAATTCCATGTATTTAAAAGACGAATATTGGATTATTAGTATCTCAAATGGAATTTACTGCATTTGAGAGACTAAAAACTCGGAAATTAAAACGTTATTTACTGTCAGATAATCAAACCTTAAAGACCATAAGGGGATTGTTGTGTTTTTAAGCCCAGTCGATTATCACATGATTTATTTGCCAATCAAAATGCAACTTATACAATCCTAGTACTGTGCCAAACCAATGACTTTCGACCTGTATCAGCAACCCAGCGTTCTTATTGATCCTTTGTACTCCTATCACCTCCAGTTGAGTCGAGAACGCTAACAACAGTTTTCATTATGGGAATCATTTATTTCAAACATACTTGATTTATATATCAGCCAAATAGATCACATAATATCATAAAATAGGAAATAACATTTATGAAAGATCTGACCAAGAGGTGACTGTGGACGTGGGAGACTGTAATTAATAAAGTGAGCATAATTTAAGAATAGTAAGTCGTAAAATAATATTAATCTGTAGGTCAAAATGAAGCTTATAATATGAGGAATATATATGATAGTTACTGAATAGTTATACAATAAGAATATATATATATATAATATTAGTCTATTATCAGTCCTCAGAAGTTACGTGTAATTTGATTCTCACTAGGATATAGTAGGGATACTAAGCAAAGACTGATAGTGGCTAGCAGTGGAATCTTGGATGCGCGTTTCATCCTATTCATGACTCGTCATGTGGATTTACCTGCATCCCAGAGTTGCTGTTCACTCCGGAACTCGGACCCAGCGCCATTCCCTTCGCAAGCCATCACGTCGTCCACTTAGCTACTGGGCACACATAACTTGTGCAATAGGGTGGTTTAGTTTATATATATGCTCATGACTTAGGGCGATATCGAGGCAATCCTCACAAGATGCACATATGCCAATAAGAGACTGATTAATTGCAGTCCCAAACACCAATGGTAAGATTCGAAAACTCAATATAAAAATGATATAAGGGAAATTATTTAAGTGATTGGGATGGATTTCTCTATATTTATGTTTGTCACACTACACTTTGTGTTTGTGTTTCTTTCATTTGTTCTGTATATAGAGTTCAAAAATATTTTAATATAACTTTTTTAATTTTCGGATCCTTTTTATTTTTATTTCTAGATACTAAGGAATTTATTGTACATAGCTTAGCTGAAAAGCGTTTACAAGCTAGAGTTGGTGATTATTATGAATGTGTTTCAGAGACTCAATTTGTTTTTGATACAGAAAATAGTACAGTAGTTAATTCGAATAATAATTACAATAAATCACATAACGACAAATGGAATATTATAATGAGTTTACAAAGTGTACGCTCTCAAGCATTTGCTGACGTCAATGTACCAGAATTTACTGGAGCAAGTAAGTACGCTTTCTTAGTCACATCCTGTATATGTAAATATAACTGACAATACCTCCTACTGTCAGCATGAATTACATTCAAAATAGCATGATTTCATTCATTAATACAATTTAGCAGCAAAGCGTTGTACGATTTATCACACGTCAATATTGAGATTATATATATTTCAAAAACAGATGCAAACAACAAAGAAACATTTCAATAAACCATATATATATATTGGTGCTGTTCAAAGAAGAACTATAAACACCCATAAAATGCGAATATCATGAATCCGCAATCGTCAAATGATTCATCAAAAAAAGAAGGAGGGAATCGAAATGAATATTATCATATGCTATGAACCCACCATTGATAGCAGTGACGAGGATAAACATCAGTTTTACGAGAGGCTGCAGTCGATCACAGAGAAGTGCCCAGAAGAGAACCTGACCATCCTCATAGGATACCTAAATATGAAAGTCGAAATGTACAACAAGATACAATGAGACGAAATGATGGACTAACTGAGAGAAAGGAACGAGAACTGCGAGAGATTCGCAAATTTATGTACATTCAGCAAAATGGTTGTAGGTGGAACTATATTCCCACATAAACACATACACAAGGCTACATAGGTCTCATTCGACCACAGAGAACCAGATTGATCGTATTTGTATTACTAGTAAATTCAGAAGGTCAATGGAAGGCGGGAGGACCGAGAGAGGAACTGACATAACTTCAGATCACAACCTAGTGGTTTCAAAGATGAAACTGGAGCTTAAGAAGCACTGAACAACTGAACAAACAGCATTACAAAGTTTCAATACAGCCTTTCTACGAGATACTGACAAACTCCACGAATTCAAGTTAGCTCTCAGTGACAGGTTCCAAGCCTTACAAGATCTACTGAAAGAAGAAGAAACTCTTATGGAGGACAACAGGAAAGGGATCAAAGAAGCACTAACTTCAACTTGTCAGGAGGTGCTGGGGCGCGAGAAGTATCATCATAAGGCATGGATCTCTATTGAAAACCTAAACAAGATTCAAGAAAGGAAGAAGAAGAAGACAGCAATTAACAACAGCTGAACATGAAAGAGAAATTAAAGGAACACGCTGAATATAAACAAGTAAACATAACAATGAAGAGGAGTATCCGAGCCGACAAGCAGAAATACATGAGAGGCCTAACACCGACGGCGGAGAAGGTTACCAGAGAAGGAAATATGAGACGACTATATGGTGCAACGAAATAACTGGCAGAGAAATCTTGTAAACTAGAAAGACCGGTCAAGGAAAAAGAAGGCAAGTCAACCACTAAGAGACATCACACTACTATCTATACTGGGGGACGTTTTAAGCAGAGTGTTGTTGAACCGGATGAAGGATTTAGTAGACGCTCAATTTCGTATCAACAGACTGTATTTCATGAGGATCGGTCGTGCATAGATCAAATCACGACATCACTGATCATTGTTGAGTGGAATTCGTACGACACGTCAACTTTCTTGACATTGAGAAAGCGTTTGACATTGTGGATAGGAGAACCTTGTGGAACCTTCTTCGACACTATGGTGTACCTGAGAAGATCGTCAACATTATTCGCAATTCATACAACTGACTTTACAAAATGGTGCGTGTAGTAGTACAGTTGACAGACGCATTCCGAATGAGGACCTGAGTCAGACAGCTGTCTACTTTCCCCCTCTCTCTTTCTTCTGGTGGTTGACTGGATTATGAAGACTTCCAAATCTGAGGGAAGGTACGGATACATTTAGACAATTTGGACATCACAGATGATCTAGCTCTTCTGTCTCATACACATCAACAAATACAAGTGAAGTTCGCCATTTTAGCAGCAACCTCTGCAGCAATGGGCTTCAACGTACACAAGGGAAAAAGCATGATCCTCAAATGCAACACAAGACACCGACTGAATCTCACTTGATAGAGAAGTTCTGAAAGAGGTGAAAACTTTCACTTTTCTTGACAGCATGATTGATAAACAAGGAGGATCTGATGCAGATATGAACGCATGGATTGGAAAAGCAAGGTCCACATTCCTATAGTTGTGGAACATGTTAGACTCAAAACAACCGTCACCAACATCAAAATCACAATCTTCAATACGAACGTCAAGACAGTTCTATCATACGGAGCTGAAATGTGGAGAACTACTACAACCGTCGTCAAAAAGTTACAGTTATTTATTAACATTAGCCGTTTCGCCGGATAACAAGCAACAGCCTACTGGACTGTTTATCCAATCAACCGAAAATTTGACCTTATTTATTTTCCATACAATTTAAAAACACAAAATTTCAACCCTAGCACTTCATGATACAACTACATACAATTTTTACCCACCTTCTACGGCACAAATTAATGCAGTGGCAGGTCGTACAAATTCATCTTGACCAAGAATAACACCACATTGACATATTCAAACCTACATTGATTTTGATTGTACTAAAAATATTCTGCCTTGTTTTTTTATATTTAAATTTGTGTTAATTTGATTCGGTTATTTCTTTATCTGAAGAAGTCTCTTACATCAAGTCACGGAACGTTAGCAATACAATTTTCTATTTATTGGGACCTAAGAAAAAAATATTTATTTTTAACTTTCCACCGAATGCCCAATTTATTTGAAACTGTCATGTCCAACCTTGGCATTAATACCTATAAACAAGAATACCAATCTATTTAAGGACATCTTTTCTCATATCTCATTTGTTTCCTTATTGAGTTGAATATTTTGACTTGAATAATTTTTAAGAAAATTTTTTCATTGTGCTTATTTTTTTCAATTATATCTTTTTAGATGTTGTGTGTGCTGGTGATATCTCACATGATATGAGTCTATCTATTGCAATTGGTTTATCATTGTGCAGTTTAGTTATTTGTGTACTATTCGGTTTAGCAATTAATCAATTAAGACAAAAAGATGAAGTCTTTAAACCTGTGGATACAACAGGAGATGACCAAAAGTCATGAAAATATAACGATGATTATGAACAATGTTCTCAAATTGCAAACATTTAGCATTATTATCACATTCATGACTTACATTACTCATTTTTAAGTTCACCATTATTCATTATATCAGTCACCTAAACCAGATCAGTAAAAATTTTGTGACGGAAGACGGGCGATAGTCTATGCATTTTTTCACATTTAATTATTTCTATTTTAATTTTGGAATAAATACTACTTATAGAATTCCTACCGTCCATGTTTTTCTTCAAGAACTTATTAAGTAAAAGATGACAATCCAGTAAAGCAAATTTAAAATGTTTTCAAAGACGAAAATAGAATGAAATAACGTTTGACACGCGCTAAGTTTAGGGTTAGGGTTAGTGTTTTCATAACCAACTGATACTAGCTTGTTATAACTTGTGACCGCCGATTAGTCAGAAGTGAGTTATCGATCGGACCAATGACGCGTAAACCCGTATGAGCAGCCTAGAGTCTTGATTGATCCTGCTTTCAGCCTAGCCAGCCAGTTAAGACCAGAACACCAACCCGAGCCTCTGTGATATGAATCATTATATTTCAAACATACTGAGTTTATATAGCAACCAAACAGACCACAACGTACTATAAAATAGAAAATAACATTTGTACAATATGAACCTTACACGAATAATTTTCGTGTGAAAAATAAGTTTACAAGTAGAGAGACACAAAAACATAATACTCTAAGTATTGCATAAATAGACAACAAAAATACAAGTCTTAACCCGAATACAACGGCCCCAATTTTGCTAAATATTTATCTCAATATAGAAATATCACATAAATAAAACTATTATTGTAATCTAGATCTCTACGACAAGCTAACTAGGTGACAGGATGAATAGTTAATCACGAATAATATACAAGGTCAGGGTAAGGGTTTACGGTTACGGTTAGGGTTAGGGTTGAGGTTAGGGTTAGGGTTTAGGGATAGGGTTAGGGGCTCCTAACCACGTGACATTGAGGTGCCGAGTCCACAAACGAGACGTGCACACCCAGCTCCACCCTCTGCCGGTCGATGGCTGGGCAGCCAGCATCAGGGTGGGGCAAACTGAAAATCACGTGACCAAGCTAAATGCCTAGCAACGGGGCTCCTAACCACGTGACCTTGAGGTGCCGAGTCCACAAACAAGACGTGCAAACCCAGTGTAGGATCGAAACTGCGGTTTGGATGTTGAAGAATAGCCATCCGGGGACTTAAGACACGCGCCCTTTCCCGTCAAAATCAAAACAAGTAATCGGATAAATAGCGGTTCTATAATTCATCATAAATTTAAATGTAAATCGTTACCTAAACAAATATTACCACCCGGCTATTCAACCAATGATTGTTCAATCAATTAAATCTAAATTACAATAAATAAAGAAGTTGATAGAAGATGAGGAAAAATTACCAGTTACAACAAATGAACGTTATTCTATCCTGACTGGATAGATCACACACAACAGGAGGAACAAATCAATATGGCTACCGCCAAGAACAAGTGTCAAGTAAAACAACGCAGATGCAGTTCAGGAAGAAACACAAACTTAGTGAATGCGTAATAAAAACAAAAATATAACAAAAAATACAAATATTAACAATTCAAATGTAATCAAAATACAACAATGTACAACTAAGGTGATCAATAGGAACAAAGTACAAGTATATACATGGAGGGATTTTCACCAACACACAAAACATTCAAAATGGATCTTACACCGGCCCCCAAAATCCCTCCATATCACACAAGCTACCTTGATGCCTACGGTCATGGTTCATTATATAGCATATCACACTATAGGAACGAGTAGGACTTACAACAGTACGCCTACTCGACCTACTACATTAATAATACGAGGAACTAATTCGAGCCTTCAAGGAGGCATAATCTACGTATATCTCTCCTGACTAATCCACCGTTCGTACGAACAACCACTGTTCTAACTCTTCCGTCGTCATCTATTTCACAATCTTCAACTACTCCTAAGGGCCATTTTCCACGAGTCGATATGTCCGAAGCTACGATCACTACATCCCCTTTCTGAAAATTGCGGTGTTCAACTAACCACTTTTGACGTTTTTGTAGGGACGGTAAATACTCTCTTAACCACCTTTTCCAAAACACATTAGCAAGATGATTAATCTGTTTCCAACGTTTGTCATATTTATCTCTGATGCTACCTTCTTCGACTATTCCGTCACATTCTCTCAATAATAACAAACTATTTGGCGACAAGGCTAGTTTATCGTTAGCATCTTGAACGACCGGAGTTAAGGGTCGATCGTTCAATATCCTTTCAATCTCGATCAAATAAGTGTTTAAAGTCTCATCGGTTAGAGTCTGCTCTCTAGTTATCAACAATAACAGTCGGCGTATGGACCTAATCATCCTTTCCCAAACTCCACCCCTGTGGCTGGATGAGGGCGGGTTAAAATGCCACTGAATCTGCCTAGCTGACAGTTCTTTGTCTATTTTCTGTTGATTCAACTGTTGCACAAATCTCCTTAATTCAGAGACCGCACCCACGAAATTTGACCCATTGTCACTGTAAATTTCGGCAGGTTTCCCTCTTCTTCCAATAAAACGTAACAAGGCCATTATAAACGAATCAGTATTCAAACTATGTGTCATTTCAATATGTACTGCTCGGGTTTGCAAGCAAGTAAATACACATCCATATCTTTTTTCTAATGATCTTCCTCTTTTGACAAAAAGGGTCCAAAGTAGTCTACTCCCACGGCTGAGAAGCTATACCATCCTTGTTGCACTCTACAAGCTGGAAGTGGTGCCATCAATTGTTGCCCTGTAACCATCGTATACCGCCGGCATGTCACACACTTTCCTATCACTCTCTTAACCGTGCTGGTTCCTTTTATTATCCAATACCTTTTTCGAATCGTGGCCAGTACTTGTGACGTTCCTGTGTGCCCTTGTTCCTTATGATAATGTCTAATTATCATTTCTGTCACTAAGTGTCGACTGGGCAATATTATTGGATGTTTAAAGGCATTTGAGAAATCTGAGTAGCTTAGTCGGCCTCCAACACAGAGTAACCCATCAAGCATTATCGGTGATAAGCCCTTCAGATCATTGTGACTAACTACTTTACCATTGTTTTTAAATCCACTAAGTATTTCTCCATACACTTCTTTCTGAACCATCAACAAAATTTTACGCTTGGCGATGTCAAGTTCTTTGACCTTTAAACATCCTAGATGAACGGATCCTTCATGACTCGGTGAACGAAGCACCATCAGAAATTCTATGAACCTTCTAAGCCAGGCTACGGCCCTGACTAATTTCAACCACTCGGAGTAATAAGAGAGAATAGGTGACATGTTGTGCTTTATACTACTCAAGTTAACCACAGCAGTTTTTCTAAACTCAATATCGTCAGGAGTAGGTTCCGGACAGTCAGTGATTGTTGTACAGAATTCGCCATGCAGTAAGGTAGGACATTTGAACCAAGATTCCAGATCAGTCATTTTTTGTATACCTCTTGATGTCCAATCAGCTGGATTCTGTGACGACTTTACATAATTCCATTGTTCAACCTTCGTATACTGGTGCACCACAGCGAGGCGGTTGGCTATATAGGTGCTATATCGGTTCTCAATATTCTTAATGTAGTATAACACTATCATGGAATCTGTATGGAAGTTTACTTCGCAGAAAAAATTAGGCAGACTTCTCCGTAATACTTCACTAAGCCTCACACTTAACACCGCTGCCGCCATCTCAAGTCTCGGTATAGTGACTTGTCTGATAGGTGCTACCCTAGACTTGCTGTACAACAAGATACAATATGGTGGCTCCTTCAAATAGCTGACTCGTGCGTACGCAACTGCTCCATAACCAACCTCTGAAGCATCACTGAACAAGTGAATTCCACTTTCGCGTCGGGTTCGTCGATTCTCCTCTTGATACCTCGAGCTACCGTGACGTGACCTATCTGACGCATAAAACTTACCCAGCCTAGCCACGCGGACATGTATGGCTCGTTGAGAGGCTGATCCCAGCCTATTTGGGACCTACATAATTTTTGCAAGAGAAGTTTGGCAGTAAGACAGACTGGAGCAATTAGACCCAGAGGATCGAACAGAGAAGAAACTATAGATAAAATACCTCTCCTAGTCAGAGGCCTTTCCGGTGCATCAAAGTAAAACTTAAATACATCTTGTTTAAAATCCCATTCTACACCTAGGGTTCGATGAGTAGTGTCGTAATCCGTTGACATTTCTATCAAGGACTGTTCTTTACATACATCAGGCAAGATGGTCCTTACCTCCTCCGAGTTGGTAACCCATTTCTTTAGTTTGAAACCTCCTCTACATAATAATTCACTTATCTGCTTAACGAAACTCTTTGCTTGATCACAAGTGGGAAAAGATACCAAGCAATCATCAACATAGAAATTATTCTTAACAGCATCTACGACATAACCATCATAACCGTCAGAGAATATTTGGGCCGTCTTATTCAAGGCAAAGTTCGCGCAAAACGGCGATGATATGGCGCCAAATGGATGAGATGTCATTTGAAACTCGGATGGTTCTTTCGACATGTCTCCCTCCTGCCACCACAGAAATCTTAAAGCTCCTCGATCAGACTCAGGGACCTTCACTTGCATGAACATTTCTTCAACATCCGCAGAGATTGCGATTGCTTCTTTGCGAAAACGCAATAATATACACACTAACTCAGCAGTTGTGTCGGGTCCTTGATAAATCATATCATTTAGAGAAACACCCGCAAACTTGGCGGCACAGTCAAGGACCACTCTCAGTTTTTCTGGCTTTTTCGGGTTTATAACTGCATGGTGAGGCAAGTACCATGTTAAGATCGATCTAAAGAATATACCTCAAAAGGCGCACTCGTGGCCTTCATTGTTCTATTACCGCCCACAGTCTCAACTACCACTGATGCTTCGTCTTCGCTCAGCCCGGGAGACCTCAAACAGTTTGATTTTATCAGTGTCACATCAGAACCGTTGTCCAACAGAGCATAACCCACAATCTCGGCTTTTCGTGATTTGAACCGTACGGGAATCATGCCTAAACACACTTGACTGATTAGTGATTTAGTATATCCGCAACAATTCGAGATACCAGGTTTCTCACTCTCGCTATGCAACAAAGAATGGTGTTTCTTTTCACAACCCTCAACGTTACAACGCTTTGTCAGCTTACATTCTATAACTCTATTTCCTTGTCTAAGACAGACGAAACAGATACCCTTGCTTTTAGCGTGAGACCATCGGTCTTGAACTGTAAGCGCTAA